TGTCCTTGAGAGGCTGAAACCAACAACGAAATGCGTAGAAGTGAGTGAGCAGTTCGCAGGCATTGTGCGTATTCATTGCCTTGTGACTGGTTTCGGTTTTAGCCTTCCTTCCACCTGCCCTGGTCTAATACGTGCAGTCATCGACCCCCAGCCCTGGCCTTGCCTTCGGTACAGTTTTGTCACAGAGTTGTAGACATTCAGTCAAAATTAAAAGTGAACAATTTTAAGTACTGAATACTTTTATGTTATACTTAAAATTGGTCCAGTGACAGAGACTAGCTCTTTCTAAGGGACCCAACAGAGTAGGTACCTCTCACCTGAAGACGGAGACAGAACCAGCCTCCGAAACGTCGTGGTTTTAAAGAACAGACGATGGAAAAAGTCCTGACAATGAATAATTTTAAGTGTAAAAAACCGTCGTCAAAACCCTTTAGAATTGAACTATTATGTCAGCCGGGTAGCCGTCAGTACAGTGACTGTCTACGCGCTGGACGATCGGGGTTCGATCCCCGGCAGGGGGAGAATATTATTTCTCTAGCTTCTATGTCCAGACCGGACTATCTGCAATCATTTCTTCGAGAAACGCATATCTGCGTTGTGAGGTCACGAGTGACGCCTTGAACTTCTTGGCGCCGTGAAAATTCGCCAGTTCATTTTTGAAGAAGGATTAACGAAATTAATTCGACGGGTGTCTCTAAGTTACGCGCCGTGGCTTGAAGTAGATTTGAGGTTCTCCTGGCGGTGAGTACGAAGATGGCTGTCTTCAGACGTCGGTAAGATGTGCCAAAAGTCAGACAGCCAACCTAGTTAGTCAGTGTTCCGTCCAACACAACAATTATTTCGTTGGTATTACTGATGTGATTGAAAATATGTTGTTCTGACTAAGAACCGTATAAATGACAATGTGGAAGTACTTTTAACTGTAGTTTATATATCTTTAGTGCTAACTAGATGGCTTACCGAACCCGAAGGTTCATAACCGAACTAACCAAAGCCCTCCACCAGACTCTGTCCTGGGCCAACAAAATCCAGTCTCCTTCAACTCCTATCTCCCATAGATCCCGCCTGAGATTATCCTTCCATCTACGTCTAGGTCTCCCCAGCGGTCTCTTCCCCTCAGGCTTCCCAAATAGTGGACCCAACCAACCAGATGGCTTACGGAACCCGAAGGTTCATCACCGAATTAACCAAAGCCCTCCACCGGACCCTGTCCTGGGCCTCCGTTATGAGAACTCGTTCAGTATCTACAAGTACCCTGAAGATTGCCATCTTGATTAAAGCGGTTTTAGGTTTGCGTATTCAAGTTGGCCGTTTTCCAGAGTTGGTTCCGGCACCCGTTCTTCGGCAGTCCCTCCTGCATTCCGCGTTGTTGTCGATGTTTGGTTACATTCAGCGGCCATATTTGTCTGCTGTAGTATCGAGGTACGGCTACGCGGGCTGGAATGTTCTTACCTGCTGCACCCGATGTCTTCCTGTTACGCGGAATTTACGTCACAACTGCGTGGTTCTGCATTGAGCGTGGCTGCCTCGTTTTAGTATCTTGTTTCAGAGCTGCTATGAATAAAATATCTCCACACTGTGTGGTCAACTTTCATGATCTCCGCTGTGGCCCCTGGACATAATTTTCGAGGGATACGTAGAAAGTGCTTTTTGGATTTAAAGACATTGTCGAAGATGGATTACGACAGCTGTTTGGAGACTGGAGACATTCTCGACATTGTGTTTGGGTTGAGATGGAATGTCGTCTGGATATTTGTCGCTCTAAATGACGTGCGCACGTGGAACTTACTGACGTAAGTTCTGAATCCGTGTTTGTTTATTCGCTTATAAGACTACGAATTATTCGGGTTGGTTGGGAAATTATTTTTATGGATTATGAAACGTCTAGATAATCCGCAGAATGAAACATAAAAACGCAAATACATTATACAATATAATTTTATTTACAGTCACTCTAATTAAATTTGTAAATATCTACCGATAACAGAAAGGATTTCATACAAAATTTTAGATTCGTCCCTCCCAATGCCGAGTCATTCTCCATCCTCACATTATCCACTGAAACATCCTTGATTAATTCCTGAGCGTAACAAGTGCAGAGTACAGACATGATACAGCATCGTTAAAATTTCATTATACTTTCAAGATCACTTTAGTGAGAATGTAAGCGTCGTGAAGTATATACGAGGCCAAGCGATGGGCTGACCCTCGACGATCGTATAAAATATTGACTGCCTCATCATTAATTCTCAGTCGGAACACGGCCAAAGATCAGAAGGAAGAGATGGACTCTCAGGATCACGAATATTGAGTTAACGCTTTGAAGTCGAAGCACGCGCAAACAATATTTGAGAATTCAGTCCGTACCGCAAATAAAACACAACGCGTACCGTTATTGGTTAATGCTGTTTAAGGAATTTATCGTATGGAGCATTTTATTATATTTATTTAGTGTTCTGTCTGACGACAGGTCCATATGAACAGGATCCATCCATCCTTTTCTCGGACTGGGACCTGTTCATATACGTTCTTGGCAGATGATCCAGAAGTGGTTTGCCATTGCCTTCTACTGTGTGTGAATGGAGTAATTGTTGGGATGCCACGGAGAAACCGGGGAAGCCCCCGGAGGAAAACTCCGTGTTGCCTAGACCACGGCTTTGCCCAATACAATTTATAAATTCGGGCACCGCCGGGAATCGAACCCGAGACCCCCAGGATTACAAGGCCAGCGTTCTAACCGCTAGAGTTGAACACACGTTTCCACCTGGGCATTAGTCGTTGCATGAATTCCAATTTTGTGATGTTTTTTTTTGTGACGAAAAGTCAAAAACTTAGTGACACAAAATTCATAATCAATCGGCCTTGAACCAAGAAATTGTTAAAAGGACAGTAGAATATTACGCGCGAATTGGCTCGTACTGGCTGAGCGACGTTGCGTCGTTTATGTTTTAGTTATAATTTGTCCGGAACACGTTCGTCGAGTTAGTTCGCGTTCAGATGAACTTATATGAGCGAATTTTTTTTTTTAATGCGAAACGTAAGGCGATGACTGAGTGTAGTCGTAATGTTTTGTCGAGTGACCTCTGCGTATGACAGTTTGTGGCATTCGTTGACGAGACGCAGAATGTGAAATTGGTAAGGACGTGACGAAAGCTTGGTTTCCGTTACTTTCGTATACGTAACCCGTGAAATTCACGTGACCGTCAGTGAGCACAAACATGCTTTTACTGAAACTTGTTGGCAAGTTAATGATGTCCCTCCATTCCAAATCTTATGTCCCAAAATAAAATAACCGGTAGATTAAAGATATCTGTAGTTTTGTTGTGTTATTTTCTGCTTTTCAAGACTTGGTCCTTGTAAAAAAATTCAGGATGGAACATCGAATGATGCTTTTGGATATCAAAATACTCTGCCACCTAGCAGATATTCAAACTGGCTTCTCTCGAGTACAGATCCCGTCGAGGGGCAGCCTGTGTTAACAGACGTTTCGTGATTTTCATGGTGCCACATCAGTAAACCTCATCCACTACTTCGTGCATTTTACCCAGCTCATAAATGATCACAATTATTTATTTTAATCCGTCTGATCACAATATTTAAAATTTCTT